AGGAATAAGCTTACAGTTAATGCGTATAGCCGTATAACACGTACGTCACATGCAGAAAATTAAGAACTTTAAATGGTTCGGACATCTGATAAATAGAATAATAAACATTTTTACTTTTCTCCTTGTTAGACCAAATAAGGAAGTATAAGGCGGTGGGTGGGCAAATCTATTTGTTGCACCAAATGTTTTGAAAAAATCATACACTTTATAAAAAGCAAATAGGCGGCGAACCTGACCTCTTTATTTCACCGCTTGTAACAATCATGTCGAATTCTTTGCACACTAATTCAACGTCAAATTCCGAACGTTCCTATGTCCCTCGAGGTCGTTTGACCAGTCTAAACTCTCGTAGGTCAAGAACGACCTCAGTCTTTTCGACAAACAGCTCCATTACCGGTAGTCAACACACCCAAAATGAGGGTCAAAACGATGGTCATTTGAAAGTGCCTGAACAGCATTCAAATTATACGCCGGCAAACCCGGTTGTAGTTGATAATGTTGTCTCTTTACAAACACGTATGTTGAAATTGTGCACAATTCAATCAAATTAAAATTATATTGATCCGATCGGTATGATAATACGTAACATATAGTGCTTGCACATTTGAATCACATAATTCGATTTACAAACATCCACCACAAAGACCAAAATTTATTCTTACAATACTTGGCTCGAGCGGAATATAGGTATATTATATGGTTGAACTTATTGGATCAACATCGTCCACCGCCCGATTCGATTCCAATGCCTCCATTAGGTAACTAGAATTTGTCGATTCTATCGGAGCATTTATGATCATGTGACCCGACGACTCCGATATTTTGTTTCTTAGATGTTGCATTATTTTGGTGCGCGCACATCACAAATGTTCTCGCCTACAAAGAGGATCTGATAAGATTATATGGGGAGCATATGTTGGCCTACAATTTTCCCCTACTACACCTGGTAAGTTAACCAACTTTGCAGGAACAATTATAATCGAGGTCGTAACTAAGACAACTAAAGACGGGTATATTGTCACTCGTGAATTAGGACGCGATAAACTCGGAGGGTGACGATTATGTTGACGCAGATTCCATCAGAACATGGCAGTCATTCTCGAATGAACCATATAATCTGAAATTTGATGATGACCGACCTTTCTTGCTGAATTGCCCATTTTGCATGAAAGAGAATAGGATCGATGCAGGTGTGAAACTTTGTACTTGACAAAAATTTTGATGCTCGCGCGGATTATCTAATCTAAATCGACGCTCAATCGTCATAGACGTGTATGTGCGATTAAAAATGAACGCGATATCACACACTTGCAAGAATTGTTCTTTAGAGTTAAATGCCGATATTTTATCCGCGAAACGATTATTGAATGACATCCAATGTTTCCTATCGGACAATACGAAATGTCTCTCGTAAGTTTGGTCTTCCTACGATCATAGCAGCTCAAAAATTAATACCCATTTATTCTGTAGTGGAACGTTGTTGGACACCGAGAGAAATCAAATAGACATTTACATGGCCATCAATGATAGTAAACTTCTGTTCGATCAAGATTTTATAAGGGATCTTATCCGCCTCGTTTCTCACGCGTACACGTGAGTAGTCAATATTCTAGATCTTCGTCGAAAGTTCTTTGTCCATCACATTTACGTTACGCATAACGCACAAAATTCTTTCAGTGGTGTTCCATCGCCGCCCTCGCTTTACGTTCCAAACATTACCAAAAATTGTAATTGGCACAACATCCAACGAGAGTTCTCCGCGGTCTTATACAAACTCGATATGCAAGGAGAGCTTGGCCATATTCGTAAAAACATCCTTAGCAAAATCATGACAGCCTATCAAAATTTGATTACGCCATTTTCACTGGACCTAATAGCC